AGAATATGCCTGTGCGATGAAAGAAGTTTTGCAACTGTTGCACTGTTTCGATTGCTCAGGTTGCATCATCCCTGCCCCCAAACAGCTTTACCTGTGAAGGGGGTGAGGGGTTCTTTCTTTTGAAAGGGTTGTGGGTTGCTTGGGATGGGCTGGTGTCTCTGGCTGTCTGGAGTTGTCTTCGGTCACCTCCGGTTAGTTCGCGTGCAAAAAGAAGTTCCATCTTCTTTGCATTTTTCCCTGTGTGCGTTGGCATAACAGTTCAAACATTTAAAGCTGCAGGTAGCGCCAGATCTTTCTTCAATCAATGGAGGGCGATCACGTATCCGTTTGCTCAGGTTCAATGAGCTTGTCCAGCGCGGCAAGCCTGATACACAGGAAGGGTTGAATCAGTTCAAGATTGAACATCCGGTTGTTGGAGCTGTTTGTTATTCCTCCTTGTTTTGTTGCAGTTGACACTGCGCAGAGAGACTCGTTGACCGAGGCTGGCTTTCCTCCCTGGTGACAAAGATGCAGCGATTGCAACGGCCTTGGTCGTATTCACCATGATGACTATTAAATATTAGGGGAATCGTCTGCAAGGCTCATCTTCCGTCGCTCCGCTTGCACCAAGTCTTTTCGCAGGAAGCACTTACTTGACATGTGTATATAATTGTATCTATAAAACTACATTGCATTGCATTACATCATATTATATATATTTATAAATTACTGTGTACAAAAAATAAAAATGTTGGGCTCGAGCCGCTCACACCTTTGCCTGTGCGGATCCCCTCCTGCTTGTGCAAGAGCGATGGCTCCGATGTTCCTGGCTTGTTTGGCCACGACGGTCGTGCTCTCGGTCACGGCGCAGATGCGCAATGATGACTTCCCTTTCTACGACCTTGGGACCATTCCCGCCTGGAAAGATTTGGGCTACTTGCGAGGCACCAAGCATGCTAAGCCCTTTGACAAGGAGGCCTATCACCGTGACCTGAAGCATTTGGACATCCCGCGCTTGTACGAGTCGATCACAAAGCTGATGGTCAGCAGCAAAGCCTTCTGGCCTGCAGATGGTCCGCAGGATGGCGATGTTCCCAGCTACGCTGGTCTTTTCGGGCGCTTGGCGTGGCATTGCTCCGGCACCTTCCGTCTCGTCAATGACACGCACGCAGCCGGTGGCTGTGAGGGCGCCAGGCAACGGCACTGGCCGGAGAACGAGTGGCGAGACAACACCAACCTGGATAAGGCTCGTGGCTTATTGGGCCAAGTGAAACATGAGTTTGGTGCCAACATTTCTTGGAGTGACCTCATCACCTTCGCGGGCACTGTGGCGCTCAAGGCCTCGGGTGGCCCAAAGACGCTCCGCTTCTGCTTCGGCCGCAGCGACGATGTGGATGGTGCCAAATCCATCCCTTTGGGTGTGGAGGGCGTGCATCAGTGTCGAGGAAGCAGGTTCTGCAAGTCTAACTTCGAGTGCCCCACCGCGTTCCACTGGCCCGAGCAGAGCGAGAAGGACCATGCTCGCTGCAACCTCACACAGCCCGACAACAGGCTTCAGGCGAGCCACTCGGTGGGCTTGATCTATGTTTATCCTGAAGGTCCTGAGTTGAGCCCAAAAGCCAAAGGTTACAAGCCAGAGCAAGTCCATCAGCGCTCACCCAGGCTCAGTGCGCTGGAGGTGCGCGACACCTTCCACCGACGGATGGGCTGGACGGATCGAGAGACGGTGGCCTTGATCGGCGGCGGGCATACCTTGGGCCGTACTCACGGGAACTGCAACTTGACGGGCACCAAATGGGGCAAAGGAACGCCCTACAACGACGTGGGCCCCTACTTCGAGGCCTCGCCTGGCACCTTGCGTGGTCCCACAGATGGCACCTGTGGCCATGGGGCTGCCGCTGGGCGTGGTGCCAACACCGTCTCCTCGGGCTTTGAGGGTCCTTGGACCCGCACGCCCTCGCGGTGGAACTACGATTTCTTCCATGCCATGCTGGCAGAGGAGTGGGAACCTGCCAAGAGCCCTTTCGGCAACGACCAGTGGCGCACGAAGGATCGCAAGAGCAAATACGCCAAGACCATGCGCCTCACAGCAGACCTGGCGCTCGTGCATGATGAGACCTATGCTGCGATTGTCAAAGAATACGCGTCAGACTATGCGAAGTTCGACGCAGACTTCGCAGACGCATGGTACAAGTTGATGCACCGATCACAAGCACATCCGAAGGAGGAGGACCTGAGAAAGGAGGTTGGGGTTTGCACCAACTTTGAGTTTGTAAAGTGAGTAATTCGGAACTTTGTAAAGGCGCTTGGGGACCTCATGAGGTGCACTTGGACCCTTCGGGGACCACTTTTGGTCCGGCCCCCGAGACTTCTCTTTCGTGCCCGTATTTGGACAATACCCACTTGGGCATTTGTAGCGCATGGCTCGCAGCTCGTCATGTTTGGACTGTGAGACCAGTGGCGCGGTCTGGACATGCATCATATGGCCATTGTCCTTGTACAGGCCCAGTAGATGGGATCCGGCTTCTCCAAAAGCGAAGGGAGCTGAACAGTCGAATCGAACAATATATACATATGTTGCTGGAACTGCACATCCAACCATTATCATAAAACCAATTCGCTAAAAAAGGACACTTCCACAATTACAACTGAAAGACTATATCACACACAGTCTTGATTGGATGGTAGGCATCCACAGGTACATATATCCAATGCTGCACCATGCAGTCAACGATGTATCATCACACAGTGCCCGAGGCAAATTTGATTTTAACTCCCAGAGATGCGTGAATGAAATACTATTAACATGTGGAATACTTGTTGCATCATCAACTATTCAACATGTTCAATGGCGCTTCTTTTGTCGCGCATTGCATGGCTCTTTCAAAAAGGTTGAATGGGAAGGTTAAACCTTAAACTTGTTAACAGAGGAACCCCACAGAACCCTGCTCTGGCTTGCTGAGATTCATTTAGATCGAAGCCCTTTGCCGATCTCAGTTTGGAGCACCCAGTGCCGATTTGAAGTGGTGGTGTATCGATGGATGCGGGAAATAGGTCAGCCTCGAGCAAAGACAAACCCCAGTGTGATCCAGTGTGGAAAGCATTATACGTACGATGTTGGATCGTTCAAGCAAGTGACGGGTGTTTTGCCTTCGAAAGCTTGCAAGAACATTGGACTAGCGGCGTGCCGGAAGAAGGGATACTTAAGCACTGTTGTTTTATCAGGTTCAGGGCCTTCCTGACACCTGGGCGTGGGGCGCCCCAAGCACAATGAAGCAGAGAGCCCTTCGTCACTAACAATGCAAAGACCGTTCTGGGTCATTGCTAGGGCCCAGTACTTTGCAAAAAAGCAAAACTTCAATTCCATGCGGAAGAAACTCTCTTCTTTGGAAATATAGTTGATGCAAATCCAAGCCAGCAAGCATGTACAAATATAGCCATAAACATGTTACTAGTAAGTCCTTTGAGTCCTCCATGTCTTTTCTGTTGTTTTCCAGGCAATGGCTGACCATCGCCAGCGCAGATGCGGTGATTTTGAGCGCCAGCAACTTCGGTGTCACAGCAGCCGAGGCCGATCACGGCCGAACTGGCCAATCATCATGCCATGGCATGGCCACGCTTCATTTTCACCACAGTGCATGGCTCGAACAACGTGCGTTGATTGACGACGCCATCAGAGATTCCAGTCGGGTGCCGACTTGCAGTTTATCGATTTAGAGAACAGTCTGGTTGACGCCTCCACACTAGGATTAACTAGTTTCTGTGCGGTGCTTGTGTGTTCAGAGTGACCAGGCTGGTAGGGTGCCCATCGCATTTCTTGGAGCTTATGGATGCCGACGCCCAGGAACGTGTTTTTGTTGTTACGTTGTTTGAGCCAGCTACTGCATATTTGTGACATGAGATGCTAGTTGGACAAACATCTCTTGTTGGCTTTCCTAAAAAATCTAGGAACCACATGAATAGCGTGAGCTTTCCTGCGTCCTAGGTAGTAGCTACTCGAGCTTAGTAGCTACCCCTTACTACTAGCTACTTCAGCTTATACTTCAGCTTACTACGGCCTACCTCCAAAAAGAAAACAACAAAAATACATGTACTTTTGGGGCTAAGAAGATAACGTGGCTTCTCAGCCGAGGTCTGGAATCCGATCTGTCTGCAATCTAAGGCCGATCGTTGCTGTGGCCAGACTTCACTCCGCTAAGCACATGATTTGAAAATCATGATCATGCCTACACGCTGTGCTTTCACAATGGGCCGATAGAGAAGATCCAATGAACCCATTCGTCACAACACGCAAAGGAAGCGCGCCTGGTAGCCTCTTGAGCAAGTTCTTCTCCATCATGCAGCCAAGGTGGGGAATACCTCCAGATGGTGCTTAGTTATGATTTGCCAACAAGTTGCTATAAGTTAGTATAATTCACATTCATTCACCAGTTTTGAAGCCCCAACTCCTTGTGGGATTCAGCCATGATCTAGTGTTGACCATGGCTCATCGATGTTCATCCAGTGTTTCGATCAGGCAATGCCTTCTGTATCCCCACAAGCAGACGGCAGCGCCAGTGCCAGGTCCCGCTCGTCCGGTCTGAATAGAAGGGGGATGAAGGGAGCGAACGAAGAACCTGGACAGCACCGACACCACTGACACAATTATAATGACACTAACCGTGTTAAAAACCCGAAGAGGTGGTTATTGAATGCTATTGATAGTTTGAGTTGTTTTGAATGAATCGAAAAGCTCATTGCTTTCAGCTCAGTCGTTCGTTGACCTTGGGACGTGGCACTTTTGTGGCTCCAGACCCACACCTTATTATGACCAGCTTCATGATACTTGTATGAGATTGTCTCAACTTTCCCCAAGCAGCTTGTAGCATCGCTACTAGCAGCGCGGGCTGGGGAAAGATACACAAGGTGGAGAGGATATGTACTACCACCTTTTCCGTCTTTCAAAGGAATTGCGGACCTCAATGGAAATTCAGCGTGCACTCGCCTTGCAAAGCCGATGTAGCCGGAGATGAACGCAGCAGATGTGGAGATATGTTTCGCTGATTGCTGGAAATGCTGCCTTCTTCGTGCCGTTAGACTCAAACAGCATCAAGGCCAGGTCTTGAATCATGTTGTGAAAACGATGTGAAAATACGGAGCCTCGTTCGGTTTCAGCCGATGAAACGTGTCGCGCTTTGGCTTAGCATTTTGGAGCTTCTTTCAGGCGCTCTTTGGCCGCTTCGCACTGCTGGAGCCACCCTCTGCAATATGCCCTGGAGAGGACGATGACTCGTGGCACCCCTTCTGCGCCTTTGGACTGAGCGAGGTCATTGAATGTCAGTACCGCCGAAGCACTCAGAACTGTTTATCTAGAGCTTCAACAAAATTGTTTGTGATCATTTGTGATTGTTATCGATTCTTCTATGGGTTCATGTGATTACGAAAGCCAGCCGATAGGCTAGGCTGGAGTTGTCGATGGGCGAACGAAGTGGGTATTAGGGGGTGTGGGTGGGGTGGTCGCATAGAGGGCCAATCTGGTAGGGCAAACCCAGAGCCTGGTGGGGAGAGCGAAAAAGAGTGCGTCCGACAGGGAATGAAAATGCATGGTTTTTGAGGTGTTGTGAAGCAAGTGATGTGATTGACGCCGAAGAGTGCATCATTAGCACCATGAGGGGATCATGAGGGGCTCAGGAGGCAACTTAAACAGTCTTCTACCAGTGGGAGTTCAATTAAATAGTCTTCTACCAGGGGTGGGAGCGGTTGGAATATGAGTGGAAGGGACTGCAAGAAATGTGATCGGTTGATGGCAGGAGAGGGAGCAGAATGCAGTGCAAGCTTTGAGTTGCTTGGGGGCGCCCTCTTTTTAATGGCGAAGAGGCCCAGTAGCCAGATGCAAAAGGGCACCCCATATTAGGGTGGGAGGCATAGCGGGGGAGGATGTGATAGGAAAAGGTGCATCGCTCAGAGCTCCTCTGGAAAAAACGTGACCTTTAGAGGATAGGAGAGGGAAGGAGGCAACGCGGTCGGAAATGCAGCAGGAAAGTGAGATGTGCGCCTCTCAACCATCACTTCCCCGTGGTTAGCAAGAGTGGAAGGGAACGTCAGCCAGGACGTTATCCGTTGAGGACAGGAGAGGGAACAGAATACAGTCCGTGACAAGCACGGAAGGCGATCTGGCTTGGGGATGGTGAAGAGGGCTGTTAACTGAATGCGAAAGGGCGCCCCTCGGAGCTATCCCAGGGAGTTAGGCGGAAAGGGGGACGCGTCGTGACGGGAGTAGAGGTCGGTAGCTCACTGGGAAAGTGAAAACTGATGTTAGGCAATCCGTGATCTTCACTTCCAATCCGCGCTTGGCGGCGCGACAAGAAAAAGAAACAGCAGCCAAGCCAGTGGCTTGGGGGTATCCTTTTTCAGCTTGAAAACGTCCTTGAACCACGAAGAAAAAGGGCACCCCCCGTACCATGTATTCTGCTTTCTCGATTCTACCACCCGTCAGCGTGGCTACCATGTCGACTTCATGACAAAGCTACTCTTTGCCCGATATTAAACGCTCACTTGATCTTGGCTGTCACATCGGACCAGCATCTACTGGACAAGAAAAACGAACAGCGTGTGAGCGCCCGTCGACTCCTTAGGGGTGCCCATTCTCAGCCTGAAAACACCCTTAAGTCGACGGAAAAGCGAGCCTATATCTTCTGCTTTCTATTTCCAACAGCAGTAGACATCACCGCCATGCCGACCTCAGTGACTTCGGGGTGCCCTTTTTTCTCTTCAAAATGACCGTTCATCCCAAACAAAAGGGCGCCCACCCCCCCCACCTGTGACTGAGGGCCTGTCATATCGGCCCGGAGCGCTTCCCATGCGCTCTCGCGTTCACCCCCCATGACCATACTGATCTCTTCTTACGGAGGCTGGCTTTCGTCCCGTCCCTTCTCAGGTGTGCACATTCATGTATGTATGTATGTCTGTATGTATGTATGTATGCATGTATGTATGTATGTATGTACATATATTTCTCCTTCTGTGTTCTTTGTTTTGTATTCTTCTACGGGCTCACATAAAGGCCTCACAAGCTGGTGCCGCTGTAGGTACAATGGCTACCAGTATTCGATGGAGTGGTACTTTCTCGAGATGCTCCGCAACAATCGGCAATACCGAAGTGAGGACCTCGAAGATGCAGCTCGCTCAGCTCACCTGCCGAGACCTTCCAAACTGCTTCAATTTGTTTCAACAACACTGCTTAGTCGGTATCGAAAGGTGTTCGATGATGCAACGTTATGTAACAGCACCGTCAACATGCGTTGTCGAATCTGATTCTCATAAACCATCTCAAAGATCCGATTAGAGTCAAAAGTCTGAGTTTGCAACATAAAGGTCTTGCGAGCCCACATTCCAGTTGATACTCTATGTGCGCAAAATACAAGAACGGGGACCAACATGGGGGCCTTATATGCTGTATGTAGTTCGCTGAAGTACTGTGGAACTCGGCTAATTTGATTCTTGTGCTTAACTTGCCGGAGCTGAGGCGGAGTTTATTTATTTCCCCCATTGCGTGTCACAGCTCTACTTTGCCCTGCGACAAAGATTCAACTTTACGCATTGGCAGGCAAGGCCGGGACTTTTCTGCGAGGGTTCGAAACCCTGCGAGAGCAATTGCAGTTCTGCAGGCTGTGGCAGAATCATCAAGATCTGCATGATGTTTGATTTCAATCATATGAGGAGATACGCAATGAGTCCAGGATTTAGGTTTCATGCAGATGTTTCACTTGGAGGCACCCATCAAGTGCCAATACACGAGTTGCGAAGATCCCGCTTTGAATGGACCGCTTTGCGAGTGAATCGCTGTACCTTTTCTTCGCCGTAGGCCATCGAGCGAGCGGAGTTGGGATATTTGGTTCCGATTTTGAGATGGGCACATCGATCTCCGGCTCATCAAAGGCGAGTGTGGGGGAGCTGGACTCACAAATGGAAAAGTAGCCCTCAATAAAAAAGAAAGTTGGAAAGTCTTACATCTAAGTGTTTCTCTCCAAGAGCAGACTGACAATGAAAAGCTTGAGCGGCTGAGCCCTTCCCAAGTTTCAAGGCATCATGGCCGGAACTTTTGGACTGTCTTCAGCATGGACCTGGGACGTCGCTTGACAAGATAGTTGGCATTGCGACCACTGATATGTGACCATGATTTGGATTTCAGGAAGCGTCTGGCCAGCTTTCAAGCACACGTTTCTTTTAGAGTCATCACTGAGGCCGTGAAAGGGACAGATTAGAATAGAAGTATTACAAAATATTTTGCAGTATAAGATAAACTAATTGTATTACTAGTGTTATATATATAGTTTAGAATAATGTGGTTACAGTGCCTAATTTCCATGTTTGATGGGAAACCAGGCCAGGATTTCCCTCGATCTGCGGCATGGCTGGAACCCTGGAGCGTTGGATCTTTGACAGGGCTTCTTGGCTTTCGAGCTCTTTCCTTCCAAGAATCCAGGCATTTGATAACATTTCCTGAAACTGCTAAAGCAATTTTTTCATTTTGGCAGAATCTAAACAACAGGGCCATCAGATCGATTCGGGCACCCAATCAAGAGGTCTTTTAAAAAGACTGTGTATCAGGAGTGATCATGTTTAGTAATGTGGTAGCATAGAACCCTGGCCTTTCCAACTTCTCCGAACGGAAGAACCATTTGGTGCGACTAAGGAGTGCAACATGGATGCGAGACAACGACATGTTCTTCAAAACTCACAGCGATTCGCTGAGCAGCGCTCGAAAGGCGCGATTCCGGGGAGAAATGAGTCCGGGAATGGATCAAGTTCAGCTTGCCCAAGGATGCTGACGGTTCAGACTGTTGGGATTTGGACACTGCTCCAGTTGCCTTGGCAAACACGATGTTTCCTGCCCGCAGCTTGGTTGCAAGGAGACCCAATGCAGCAAAACGTTTCATGCATAGGTTTCAGCGGATTCACACTAGTTGCAAACGTGCTTTTCAACAGTTCTTCAGATGTCTGCAGCCAAGGAAACTTTCGGGTCCAGGACACAGTGATCTCTATTCCTTCCCGATTTTCACCGCACCCCCGATCCCGTCGTTTTGGAGGTGTTGCAAGCGGAGCGGAACGGCACTTGCAGTGTTCCAATCTCTTCATGAGTTTCTCAGTGCTCAGACCTCACATGATCCTACATGAATTTGCTGCTCCAAAAAGCATCAGGATGGCATCATTTGAATTTGCACCAATCCAGTTTGCATTTGTTGGACACATGGTCTACCAAATTCTTATGTGGCTGTGCTGTGCTCCTTAGCTCAAATCTAATCTCATTTTGTGTAGGTCGTCCAGTCCTCGCCTACTTTGCGGGCTCACCGAACTCTTGTGCCAGGCACCCTTGCTGGACACAGCAGTGGTATAAATGACCTCCGACCTAATAGTGATGGCCTCCAACCTAATAGCGCGAGTAGCCATAGCTGCCCCATTTATGTCATCTAAACAGCAAACAGAATTGTCTCTCAGCCAACTTATGGAGATGTTGCGACTTAAAAACTCTCAAACGCACAAGACGACTTCAAATTAGACAGCATTGAATGAATCTCTTCTCCTCTAACTGCTTTGTTTTGGGGCAGGGAAAGGATTGTGAAGGTGCTGTCCGGGGAACCTGGCTTCGATTCTTGGCACTCAAACCTTTGCGGATGTCGTGGAATCGCCGATGGTTGAGGAAGTGAACAAGCAGCATCCTTTGAGAGAAGTTAGTATAAGTACAATCTGCACAAATACTGTACATGAATGCGCATGAACTGAAACGAAGAAGGTTTGCGATCAATCCACTGCATGTGTGTATAATATAGATTCAAAGTGCCTTCAAGGTGTTGCATTCATATGCTGGCATGCTCCAAACCCTGGCAAACGATAGGGGACTCACAGATCTGAGGATGCAACAGCTGCCCATTATAGCTTACTATAGTAGCAATGCCCTTGTTACTAGCGATTTTGCAACTATGTATCAGAGATGTTGTGTTACAGTCATATGGGAATTGGTGATATGTGCCAATTGGTATGACACCAGCGCAACAGCTCCCCAAAAACAGTACAAGAAAAGGTCGGCGCTGTATTCTTGCTTTGCTTGAAAAGGTTTAACGGTATGATATGCCGCAGTCTAATATATCTTGATGACAAGAGCTTCTGGGGTGGGTGCCCATGTGAGTGTCTAGTGGTGATCCACTCTTCAAGGGCATCAAAAGCGAGCTTGCATGGAAGCGAGGATGTCTCCACATCCTTTGCCAAGAGCAATGATGACTACCGTGAGCGGATGTGGCGAGCACGATTCTGCTTTGTTCTTCGAGGCACTGACGGTTGTGCCAAAGAAGATAACCACCGAGGCGATTCTTGCGATAAGGTCACATTACTTTCCCGTGTGAAAGCTAAAGCTCACTTGGTGACTGCATCCGTCAAAAGGATTCGGTTATATTTACCTGATGTTTGAACTGTTCGCCATAAGGTTTGTCGTAAGGGGCAGGGAAGCCTCCTATGCAGAAGCAGACACAATTTTGAACTCTTGGGTCATGCTGGCCAGAAGGATCGTTGCAGTGAGTGTGGCCACAAGGACTTCTTGCTTTGGGTTTTTTGAGATCTGAAATGGTGCACTTTTTCCGAGAGGGTATCAGCTGAAGAGATGCAAGTTGGAGCTCACTTATGTTTTTTCTCTTTACGTTACAGTAGCATTCCCTTTTATGTGTGAAAGACGGTCCAAAACGAGTGGCCAAATTGTTGCGGGCACGCTTCAATTGGTCCCGGGGCAACCTGAAACTGCCAGGCTCATCCCACACCAACAACGTTCGCCTTTATGATGTCATCGCACATGGCTGCGTGCCGATCATCGTCTCTGACGACTTCCAACCTCCACTGGACCGACTGTTGCCGTGGAAGGACCGCGAGAAAAGACGAACAAGACTAAGATGTTCCACGAGCAAATGAAGCTGGTCAGTTCTTGAGAGTGCTGAGTACTGGTATAGCCACAGCATGCTACAGCCACAGAGCCTGGTGTATTGCATTTTTAGCTCGAGCAAGCTTTGTGTTTCTTCGCCGTCCGTGCAAGGACATGGCAATCTTCTTGCCGACCTCAAGCATTCCAAGGCTGGAGGAGGGACAGCGAAATAGTTTGAACTGGATAAACTTGCTCGCTGAACTGTGCCAAGTGCATTGCATAGCTTCTCGAGAAACTCTACATAACCATGCTGCGGCTCGTTGACATTTTTTTCTACTAGCTCGGTGTCTAAAGGCAAGATTGGGCGAACGATTACCTTTTTTTCCAGGCTTGTACATCTCCTTCGTCATGAGATCACAGAAGAAGATCGATGGCGTTGCTTCCGGAACATCGCCCTCGGAAGCCCACAAGGCACATGCCCGGGGGGGTAGGCCGCTAGTAGTAGAGGTGAGGTAGGCAGTAGCTAGAGGTAGCTAGCTAGTAGAAGCTAGGGAGTCGCTAGTACTTACTTATATAGGCTACTACATATTGGACTCAGGATCGCATTATTCTATTCATTTGGTTCCTAGACTTTCAGGGCACTTGAGCTCACTTTGATACGAGCAACCTGATTTATTTACGCAAAGGTATTTAATAAAGGACCCGACATTGGCATTGCAGAATTTGCATTTTACTTGGAAAGCGATAATACACTCATCAAAAAACGATAACATATTGATAGCATCATGTTTTATTATAGGAAAGCGTAGTTTGCATAGCTGCAGTACAGCTTTTTAACCAGAAGACCATCAGGGAACCTCGTTTCTGCTTAGTGTAGCCTTTCCCAAAGCCGTATTTGACTTCGGACTTTGGCGACAGGTTTGTCCGAAATGTAGCTGTAGTCAAACGATAACCTAAACGACAACCAAACGATAACGTAAATGTAGACGAACCTGTGCTACGAAACCAGTGCCCCACTTGTATCTGAAACATATCTTCCAAGCAAGCTCAAGACATGGCTGGTCTACTACTACTACTACTACTACTACCACCACTGCTACAACAACAACAACTACTACTACTACTACCACCACTACTACTGCTACTGCTACTGCTACTTCTACTGCTACTACTACTACTACTCCTGCTGCTGCTACCACTTCTACTCCTACTGCTACTACTGCCCCCACCAAACGGCGACAAGTCAAAAACAATGCTGGGGCTGTGTGGAGCGATATCACCAGAAGGCGATACCCATGACCTTACCACACAGAAGGAGTTTTGACCGTCGCACGTCTGCTTCCATGTCCAAACAGTCTGCTACATTGTGAAAACAACCTTTAACCTAAGTAAGGTTCAAAACGTGGAAAACGACAATACACTCATCAAATTGAAATGTGCAAGGCCCACATAACAAATAAACAGCGTCGCTCTAAGCTTTGCTTGACAGCGAAAAATCAGCAGCAGCTGTAGGAACCTTTGGAGAATGGGAATACGGCATTTTGCGGTGATTTTCGCTCAGGTGAGAAAGGATTCCCAGAGGATTTGGAAGCAGCGAAGCACATGGCTTCAAAGTTTGCTTTGGACCGTGACACCCTTTGGAGTGGGCTTTCAGCTGGCCGCGTCCCTTGGCGATAGATGAGACAGCAGACTATTCTCACGGGCATTTTGCAACTCAGGTCTTCGAGTGGCACGACAGCCATTTCTGGATACTCTTTTACGCAGATGTTGCAAACAAGCTGCGGGATCGTGTGAAGCAGGCACAAACATGTCATGTTTTGGGGAGAAGTTCAGACTGCTTGCGGTTCAGTCCGTGCGAAAGAACCTTCGCTGTGGTTGCAGGCAGTTGAGAAGGCTGTGCACCCCGCACCCCTTCGCGTCAAGACTCTCGAGCAACCAGAGGTGCGCAGAATTCCGCCAAGCTCATGAAAACACACTCACTCTACCTGTTCAATCACTCAAGTGGCTGCAATGGCAACATGTTTAAAGCTCGTGGGAGGGAGGCAGTAGGCAATATCTCCAAGACCTCCAGAGCACACTACCCACAATGGAAGAGTCCCTGTTAGATCAATTTTGCCAAGGTCCGGAAGCTGGTTCTGCCTTCTTCTAGAACTCATTGATGACCAGTCCAAGAACTATGGGCTTTATCTATGGGTTGAGATTTATGTCGGTAGATAAGTGGACATGCTTGAGCTTTGCTTGATTCTTGTCAGCCCAGCTCAGGGTTCGCCAACCCCCCGGGGATCTTTCCTGGCTCTCCAATGGCTGCTGGATCTCCATCATCGCAGGGAGAAACGCTGCTAGATCTCCAAAATGCTGTCCTCGTGACTTAAAGATGTTCACTCTTTGACTCATTCTGTACATTTCCGTGGTTCCATTTGAAAGGTTGTTTGCCATTTGATATCAAGCAAGCAGGAAATTGAGTTCCAGCAGGGAGGGCAACTTGCTCTTTGCTTCTCAGGTTCGCCACAAGTAGTCCGCTGTGGAAGCGATTCCTTTTCTTCTCAAGGCGCAGTTGGGGATCCTTCTGATGCCGGCTCTCACTTGCTTCCGGTACATGTCTTCTGTACGTGTTTTATTTGTTTTCGTTAAAGGGAAACACGAGTCCTATCCGGTCCTATCCCATTGGTGACGTGTTGGGCTGGAAGTTTTGCCGTGGAAACTTTGCTGTCAGACTAAAAGTCCTGGAGAGTTGCAGTCCACAGCACAACATGAAGATTTGACTCTTCCTGCTTCATCTTCCTTCCTCAGCCTCTCAAGTCTTTTTGGCACGTTTCAATTTCCCAGGCAGGTCTAGCCCTTCCTTGAAGCCTTTGGAGGAGAGGGGTTCTTGGCAGGGGAAGTTTGATTTCATTTCAGACCCATATTTTGCCGCAGGTTCACTCTGTGTTGCTGCAGACCATCGCGCAGACACACACACACACAACTATTGAATCATCAATACTGCATCATGGCGTGCGTTTGAAGGAGTTCGACGTGGGTGGTGGCTTCAACCTAGCAGTGACAAACAGGCATGCAATGGTCATTGTCTCACAAAGAACCATGGTCCTGGCCCTGGCGATGTAAATCAGATAATGTTGGCACATAAATGCAAAGGAGAAGCAGGATTACATTTCCCAGACCATGATGAGCCAACAAAGTACACGCATCGGAGATGTTAGTGCAATGTACATGCTGATGCTTGCTTCAGGACACACTGCTTGGTTCATAAGTAGCTCAATGCTTGACAGGCATAGCTGCAAGAGCGAACCCACCAAGTTCCAGAATGCAGTCTTACAGGCTGGGACGGCACCGGAGCGGCTGCATATCACAGCCTTTTTCACATGTAGCCTTGGGTTTGCTGTGCAGGTCAGTTCAGATTGCGAGATGTCCATTTGGGAGCTTTTGAAAAAGAATTCTCCGCAGATACTTTGGATTGACAGTGTCCTGGCAGAGGTTTGGTTTGGGTCTCGTCAAGTAGCATCGAATCCATTCCAACCTTCCTTGGAATGCACATTTCTTAAACAGGCCTTGCAGACTGTATTTGCACTGAAAGTTTCACTGGGTATCTTTTTCCTATGTGCATTGAGTAGTCCTTTGTGGAAACAACTGTTTGTTTTGGGCACCAAGATACTACAGCGGAGTTGCGAAAAGACTTGGCCTTTGTTGGTTGGCTGTGCTTCTCTCAGGCAGGGTGTGGTGAGTGTAGTGTGAAAACAGCCACTGGCAGGCAACTTCAACGCATCAAAGGCCACTAATCATCATGTCAGGAAGCCCTTCACACTCACTTTTTGTTTTTATGAAGTTGTTTTCTGAGACTCAGGGGGCCGAAGACAGGTGACTCAACAGATGCAGTCAAGCTGAGCATGCTCTCTTTGCTTTTGCTTACTTCTGTACCCAAAGGTTGTTGGGTCTTGGGCAAATATGTCGCCCCAGGTTTGTTCAATATTGCTACTTGCTATTCAGTGCTGCTTGGCCAGAGGCCACTTTGCAACCCCTCTTCCATCCGTTCGAGCTTGAGGGGTTGAAGCCGGTGATATGCGGACAGGAGCTGTTGAACAAGCTTTCCAAGAAAGAACCCTTGATGTGGAAGGTGAGGGGAATAGAAACGGGACAATTCAGGAGCGTGATGGTGACTTGGAAAAGCTCTTGAAGCTTGGCTCCTCGCAAAGCTCGGAGCGATGGGGTGCACAATTCACATTCTGGCACCATCAAGAGAATACCAGAGGTCGATTCCTCTACACCTAAGTCGTGGCATCTTGTCGCAGCATTCATTTCACAGCACTTGAACATGTTCAAACAGACGAAGTAATTAACGCTGTTTAGACTTGCAGGCTCTGGTGCGCCATAAACCTAAGGTGGATTCAGGATGCGAATCTGGTCAGTCCAATCTCCTATGGAGCTGTGGCTGTAGCACAAGCTTCTTTGAGATACAAATTCGGCAGAGCAAAGCTCGGCTCCGTGAGCTCGGGTGCAGAGAACCCTCGAGAACCCTCGAGAGCAAGGTCTGCGTGCCATGCGCGGAGATCTAACGACGTGTCGGACGCGTTGGACGGCAACGGCACATGAGTTTCCTGCGAGAAGCTGCCGAAGAGTCTCCTGGGCAGAGGAAGGAAAAGCATCCATGAGGTCATCCACTAGCTACAGCGGCTAGCGACACGTTGACCATCTTAAATCGTGTCCAGCGCTTTTTCCTCCAAACTGTCAAGCATGAGCTGTGGCCACTTGGAGTTAGGTTGGAGGCCATTGGTATTAGGTTGGAGGCCATTGCTACTAGGAGTTGTGCACTGTCCAGGGCAGAACTGCAGAAGCAGATGGAGTTCTTCCAGGAAGAGGCTCGAAGAGGGCTCTTTTCTCCAGGTGCTTCCACATGCTCAGCCCTTGCTATATATACATCTATTTTTGTTATGAGTTATGATTTGCTATTGCTGCTTTCACATGCAATAGAGAACAATGTTGCATGTCCTCACGTATATTTCCTTTCTTTGGCTCATTTCTGTGCAAAATATGTTTTTTTCAGTGGAGTGCTTGACGCGTGTCAGAATAATATCTGACAAAAAGTGCAGAGCAGCAGTTCTGTCTTAATCCGCTTGTCGATTGCTCTCTTGTCCGTGCCTTTCAGGAGATTTGCCTGACCTTCTTCGTTTCAACCAGTCGCTTGCAACCTCGAAAAGGGAGTGAGACGAAAATGTGCGACATGATGGCCTGCAAAATGTTTGGTTTCGAGATCGAATCTCGCTTTTACATCCTTTGAGACAATTGCTTCTTGATGCTTGTTGTTTTCCCACTTTAGATCATAGAATATTAGTGAGCATTGTCGGGTGCTTCCCACACATTCAGAGTCCTGTCATTGCTGTCTACCACATTCTCAACACTCATCGCATGGACACATCGAGTCTGCCTTGGCCGTTATACATCAAGCTGTTTGGACTCCAGAGGGCTTCGATTCCATCAAGTTGCTAGCTTTGGCTGGTCAAGTTGCTTGAGGCGCAAGAGTAAGCGCAGTTTTGTCGCTCTGAACACCATGCAGTCTAGAGCCGTCAGACAGAGTGGGCCTTTCTTTCCATACCTGGTTGAAACCATTTCACACTGGCACTTGTTTTCGCAGGATCATGTTCTTCGGATGCTGCTGCACCGAAAAGGAGGAGGGTTTTGACTCTCTTGCAGTGGAGTCTTGGCAGTTTGGTGTCCAGTCGAGTAGATCATGGCTTATCACAGATACGCTGGCTACAAATCTAGGTTCACAAGACTTGCTTGCATTAAGGATGAGAAGGAGACCAAATTGGTGAAGGCATCGCCAGCTTTGAAAAGTTCAATGGCAGAGGACTCTGGCTTGATGGAGCCTTGGGCAGACTGGGGTACTTGGTGCATCACAAATGCATCACGTCGACGATAAATGCATTTCCCACACACCCGGCGTGTATTGGAACGATTGTTGAAACTTCATGAAGTGAAACGTTGAATAGTAACAAGGACGCCACTAGGGGCTGGCCGTACTACCCATTCGCCAAGGAACAGAAGAACTGCTACTTGGTCACTTTGCCGCGCGGTCCTGATGGAAAGCCGGACATCGGGGTCGAGAAGTCAGACTCCGATGCTTGCCGCATTGTAACAGACCCTCCACTTGCGTCATGCCTGGATGCCTGGAGATGATGTCACAATATGTCACCTAGGACTTCTTGATGATCAAGAAGATGACTGCGGGAATGTCGAGTTGGAATGAGATCCTCGGCAGACTTGTGGAAGGGTTTGGGGTCCAACTTGTAGCCAAGATACCAGTTGTGTTCAACATCTGCACCGGGCGTTGGATAGACACAAATGCTGCCAGCAGCACAAGAAGCAGACAACAGCAAGAATTGCATATTTGTGCATTTTTGGTGGTTGATCAAAAAGTCGACATATGCCCTGGGTTCATTGAGAACCTCTTAATTATATTGTTCGCGTATTTTTTGAGTTGGCTAAAGTAAAGGTGGTTTTCGCGAAAGATCTGCAGAAGATAGTTGTGCGGAAACAACCAAGCCAAGACAACTTCCAATCTTCTAGCATAACCCCCCCGCGAAAGTTCAACATGGAGGTCACGAAAGATTTGCGAGAGCAAATATTTTGAATGAAATGTAGCAAGCTGAAGAAGGCTGAAGGAAGGTTTGAATTAGTGTATACGCGTCGCAAGCCGAAACATCACGTGAACCGCAAGCTCCATCACCTCACCGAGATCACAACAAACCGCGAACAGACGCCATCACTCCAGACGCACGCCAGAAGAGCAAATACCAAGTACCAAAACAGGTACAAAACAGGCAGATTCCTACCAGGAACCAAAGGCACTGCATGCACAGCCCCCTCGACCTGTACTGTGCATGTCAACCTGGACGCAGGTGTCATAGGGGAGTTCAGCACCTTACAGTGACCCAGCCAGCAATGCTGCACTGGATCGCCCCCACATAGCACCCATAGGGGTGAAACAGCAAGGAATTGCCTTTCCGTAAGAAGGAATTTAGGTTGGCGCGGATCAGACAGAAACTGCACGGACCTACTGTGGAGTGGAGATCAGGCTCCCAGGCAGTTCCACAAGAGCAGAAGAACAAGAACAACCATGAGGGCGATAGGAAGGCACAAAGGCTAGAAGAAGAATGCCAACAACAAGAAGAACCCAGACAATGACTGCAAAAACAAGAACAACATGAGCAAGAAGCAAGAAGAACAGGAGGAGGACGAAGGAAGGAGGAGGAAGCGGCGATTTGGCTCACGATGCCTTTCTACATTCTGGTTGGTGAAGCACAGCCAGTGGCAGGAGCGGTGTGTGTGTGTGTGTGTATGTGCCAGGACCTTTCATCGTTTTGATCTCGGCTCACACCGGTGGAGAGCCAGTAGATGGAAAAGAAGAAGTTGAAGAAGAAGCCGAGGAGGAGGAGGAGGAGGAAGAGCAACAGCAGCAACAGCAACACCAAAAACAACGATGGGTTTGCGGAATAGCAGCAAAAGGCATCAGCGAAAAGAGGCAATAGCCAATTTGTTCTCAGCCTTCTCAGCCAGATGCTTGCAGAATAGGTTTCAATCCCTGCATCGGTGTTGAGTGTTGTTTGGTGTGTTTGGTCATACTCCGATGCCTCGCAAGCTGCTCATGAAAATCGACCTACTAGCTTCTTGCTACTAGTAGTAATGCCCTTGTTACTAGTAGGGATGCACTTGCTACTAGTAACTTCTTGTTCCTAATGCTAATCCATCCGCATTGAGGTCTCATCCGACTTCGCATCAAATCGGGGTCTTCGACCGCATCGTGGAGGTGAACGGCCAAGCTGCCCCAGGAAAAGAATTGGATACTCGGACGGTTTGGAATTCCGGAAGGCTCCCAAGAAGAAAAGCAAAAACAGAAGAAAAAGGGAACATCCAAAGAGAAACCGTAAAAAGAGACGAGGCTGAAAAGGGCAAGTGGCAGAAAGCGGAACACATGGGAACACTGCACCAAAGCAATCTAAAATTACCTAGAAATCAAAGAAGTAGTCTTCTCGTATTGGAAACTTCAAGTTTGGCATGAAGGAAATAAGAAACACAAAAAGAAGAAGCAAATCTTCAGGAGTTTTGGATTCTGATGAAAGCACTATACTATCTATTTGTTGCATTTTGTTGCTAGCGCTGAGAGCAGATTTAGTATGGAGGCAGAATCTTGTCAATGGTTTTGGACATTTGATATATATATATATGGTTTCCCGCCCCCGGGGGTAAAGAGTAACACACCTGCAAATTCTTATTCCGTAGTGTTTCGGCTTTCAGAAAGGTGAATGAGCATCTGTAACGGGTGCAATTCCCGACTGAAGAAACCAGTTGGGTCTTCGGGGTACTGTGATCCCTGTTGGCTGGTTGTTCGCATCGAGCGACTAGTGTTTACAAGGTGTCCTGCGCATACAGTGGGTGATTTGGTCGAGTACCTCAAGACAGCCACCGCTACACTGGAGAGGACTTGCGAGAAATTCGAGGCCGACCGCACTGCTGGTTACGTTACTGAAGACGGGGAGCCGATCCCTGGTGCCCGTAAGAGGATTTTAGCAAATCGAACAGGAGGAGACGCACTTGAAAAGGGCATTCATCGCGGAGAGAAGGACCAGCAAGCATCTTCAACGAGGAGGACATCTTTGGACACAGTCCCTGTGAAGAAGGAGAGAGAGGCAGATTCATGGAAAGAACCCTTGGTGGACGCGAAGGAGAAGAAGCCAGGAAGGCGTGAGAGGTCAAGGAGACGCAGGAGGTCGAGGAGCAATACAAAGCGATCCAGGTCAAGGCATCGTTCAAAGCGCAAAGAGAAGAAGGACAAGTCGGGGACTCCAGACCCTGAAGCCAGTGGCATCGAGGAGACACCGGAGGAAAAGCCCAGGCCTTCAGCCGGGGTAGAAGAGGAAGAAGAGCAGCCAGAGGAAGAAGTTGTTCATACAGAAGAGGAGGAGCAAGACGACGAGAGCACAGGAAACAAGCTTGAACTCAAGCGTACGGCAAAGCCTTCGGCCCGCAAGCCGCTGCCGCCGACCGCGCTCACCATCCTATTCACCTCCAGGCTACCGTGATTGAGAGGATCAGAAGCCCAAGAAGTGGAAGGGACTCAAGCACGTCATTCGAGGACAGCTCTATTACAACAGTGGACCCCCGAGAAGTAAGGGGAAAAAGACCTATCAGGGAAGTACTACATGGTGAAGCTCTTCGGGACAGATTTGGAGGCCTTGTTGACTTGGGCGGCGAGCGGGACCACCGGTTACGCTCGAGTTCACATCTGCACACCCGATTGCGGACAAGACTCCGAAGGTCCCGGACTCCTACATTGCAAGAAGCATCGGGGCATCCGAACCCTGGAAGAAATCCGAGACCTCCTCTGGCGCGACGTGTTGGTCAGTGCAGGTCGCCGAGAGGAGGACGAGTTAGCCGGGCTGAGAGGTCGGATGGAAGACCTCCCAGCTCCTGCCGGGGCAGATCCAGGAGCAGAAGATCGTCCAAAGGAGGAAGACAGAGAGGTGCAAGACAAGGAGAAAAAGAAAAAGAAGAAGTCAAAGAAGAAGAAAAAGCGCGCAAGGAGCCCATCGAGCACCTCCCAGTCCTCGAGTACAAGCTCAGAAGCAAAACACAAGGCTGTCAAGCAAAAGGTTGGTCGTGCATAGCGTATGTAGTTCCCTGCTCATCGGTCCAGATACCTTTCGACTCAGCATTTGTCGATAATATTTCAGGAGCGTGGGAACCCAACAATCCTGCTGGTTGGATTCCTGTCCCGCTTCTTCCAACATCAACTCCTGCATATTCTCGATGGTCTGGGCTGATAAAACTCCGGGGAAGCTCAGCCCTGACTCGCTGGGGCTCGCCAAAAATGGCTTGCCCCTTCAAGGTCGTTTCCTCGCCGCTTGAATTGCTTTTGCTTTCTGCCCTCTTGCTCTGAGATCGCTGCGCATGGTGGGCGATTTGATGTTGCGTGGCCAGCTTCCAGACAGTGAAGTCTTTGGAAGCCCAGATCAGTGGTCTTGCATGGACAGCAGCCCAGCGCCTGGAACTCCTCCCAAGCGACACGGCAACCTTATCTTCGAGGCAGGAGTTGAAGATAGCTACAACCGAGCAGCGAGCGGAAGCCCAGGCGCATCAAAGCGGTGCATGGTGGAGCAAAGGGGCCGGCAAGGAAGGGAGCAAAGGAGAAAGGACAGAAACAGGAAAAGGCAAGGGAAAGAAATTAAAGGAGAAGCCGAAAAAGGATTGAAGCCTAGGTCCAATTTGCTGGAGAACTATGAGGGTCAACATCCTGAGTTTGCGGGGCATTTGAACCCTCTGGAAGCCAGGACGAGCCAGGTATACAGCAGTACAGTTGGAACGGGGGTGGAGATCCCTGTGAGCAGTGGAGATGGTCGGGGCGAAAGCCCTGAGTATGAGGATGACAAGCCTATGACGACTGGTGGTGCTATTTTGAAGGAGCTGACGCCAATCGCTACAAGGCCGGGACGGCCATACGGGGGCACCACGAACAATGCAGAATGTGGTACGGGGCGATGGTCCCTGAAAAGAGACCAGGTGGATGATCATTCCCACCTCATGCTCCGATCGTTTTTCCCTTAGGGACGTCGGACGGCTCGGCGCCGAACAAGGCTGTTGTCGAGCTGAAGATGCCCCTGGTACAGTCGGGGTCCATCCCCGTGGATTTTGGAGGTTCGAAAAAAGGAGTTTGCGGCGTGCGATTACAGGACATGGGAAGTATTCTAGGCGAAAGTTTACGGGAGGTTATGTTGCTCTGCAGCCAGTCCACGGGAGGGGAGAGTAGTGCAAGAGTGCATTTGAAGCAAACTGACACCTTTCCTCTTCCAACCCTCCGTGAACTTCTTTTGCACTTGTTGTCAGAGGAGCTTGCGTGGACCGTTGATTGGTTGAGAGGCAGAGGGATTTGCGTTGCATTGAATTCATTTTGGGGGTGCCCAGATCCGACATTTCAGGAAGAACATCGTGCAGACCATCGAGCAGCAGTTTCCAAGATGCAGGCCCGAATCCTGCGGGGGCTGGCAAACGATGTGGCTAGGCTGAAGGAGGTACCGGAGGTTACGGAGTCATTCGATTGGGGTGATTTCTTTCGAACACGCGCTATCGATTACAAGGGGGATGAGGTGAAGACAGCGCTAGGGTTCTGTTGGAAGAACATTGAGCCGGCCCTACGTGTGGCTATAGATTAGTGGAGTCCCGAGCAGGCCCTGATAAAGCAATTGGCGGGGTTGGTCTCTACCAAGGGCGCAGACCTTATGCTGAACAGCACGCCGGACGAGATTCAAGGCCATCAACGTCTGCGATGGAAGGTCATTTCGGGTTGGAAGTGGCTAGGACGCCAGGAACACATCAACTCATTGGAGCTACGTGCCTGTTTAGCATGCCTCAGGTGGCGTTTGGAGCACCTCCGAAACCATGACTGTCGTATTCTACATTTAACCGATTCATTGGTACGCCTTCACAGTATGACCAGAGGAAGAACATCCAAGTTTCTCGGTTTTCTCAAGGCCGAAGGCCTCGAATTGCCGCGTCGTCGTGAGCTTTGTACCCTTTGGTCATGGAGTACATAGAACATTTGTGGATTTCGGGGGAGGGGCGTGGTCTGGCCGCCGACACCCTGGCCTCTTTGCAGGATTACGACGCCAAGATTCGGGGTCACCTCCCTGGCGCATGGAGACTTGTTAAGACGTGGGTCACCCATGAACTCCCAAATCGGGCGCCGCCAGTCCCTGAACTAGTCCTGCAAAGCATGGTAGGATGGGGCCTATACCATGGCCATTTCGCATTTGCCACTAGCCTTCTAGTGTGTTTTTACGGCGCTTTACGAACAGGCAAGTTGGTAGATGTCTGCCGCAACCGTGTTGAAATTTCCGCCAAACTCCGCACAGCAGCACTAGGTCTCACGAAAGCTGGAAAGAGAGCAGGAGTCCAAGAGAGCAGGAGTCCAAGAGAGTGTTTCCTTGGGACATGACACTGTTTTCCGCTATGTACAGCACTGGACACACCTTACAGAAGCTGTGCCCTTCTCCCCCCACGGTGGAGAAACTTGTTTTTGCGCATCAACAGCCTTCAGTTGGAGCCTTTGGAGCTCAGATCTTACTCGCTACGGCGAGGAGGCGCCACATGGTGGCTTTGTCAACACGGTAACCTCGACAGAGTCATGATTTTGGGCAGGTGGCAGGCCCAAAAGACAGCGTGGCTGTACCTGAACGAATCCAGGGCCATTTTGGCCGAAATGAAGTTGGGACCTTTAGAGAAGACTTTGGCACCTGACCGTTTTCAGAATTCAGACCCCAGAGACTTTGAAACACTTGAGCCGTTGCAAAGCAACAGGCCGTCCTCTTCCAAACGAGGCCTGGGGGGACTTGGAAGGAAGAGAAAGAATTCCAAGCTTTTCAAAAAACCAGCAGCGAGGTGAAAAAGAAACAATGCTGGTGTCCCTCAGGACCCGGCCAGGGTTTGGGGTGTGGCCCACTGGTCGGGGGGAGACGATTGTCCGGGAGCGCCCCCTTCCGTGTGTTGTGGACCAGGAAGGGGGGGACAATCAAATCGACTTCGGGAGTTTCTTTTTGGTTCCGAATTCTTTATATTTTCTGACAAACCTGCTGCAGAGCGAATAAGAAAA